AGTTATAAAGAGTTAAGTATTTTAGAAGTTGAGTATTCAGTATTTGAATTGTGTTTATAACTCAAAAACCGTGATGACTAGAAAAATTCTACGTGCACCATTGGATTCTCCGTGAAAAAATCTATTAGAACCCGTTTTTACTTTTTTACTAAGTTTCCGGATAGCCGAGATACGGGGAGTGTCTGAAAATCGTAAATTTTGAAATACTCCCTGTATATCAAAAACGAAAAGGTCTATGAAAATTTGGTTTGCGGCATTATAAGTTTCACAAAAACGTAGCTCAGGTTCGCGAAAACCGCAACTTTCTATCTTTCATAATAACTGAGATATCCTGCAAACCCATCGAAATTTGGACACCCTGTACAGGGTGAGCGAAATTGGGCACTTTTAAAGGGAAATTCCTATTTTTATAAGAGATAAAGGAAAAATGATATCAGTGTCTGATGCTCGATTTTTATAAGAAACTTAATGGCGAAAACCGTATATCGATATCTTTTACGATTTCAGAGATACAGGGTGTTTTTCAAAAAAGTGCATTTTCGAAAAGTCGTCATTCCTTTTTTCTTATTGATAAATCTTCCTTTCTGTGAAAACATTTCCAAAGTAACTTTTTATGTAGAATTCGATGGAATAAGTTACCTTTCCCTCAAAGCAATATTTTAGCAGTTATTGACATAAAAATGATTTTTTTAAATGGAACACCCTGTATATTTTTGCAAATTGGACGAGATATCTCGTTCAAGTCTTCTTTGAAATATACAACTTTGAATCTTTTAACTTTCTCGGTGTAGTGTTAGATCTAGTATTGCACTATCTCTAGAACTAACACAAGACCTAAAACTAGAATCATTCCTTCAAGTAGTTGAAAAGCGTAGTCAAGGTCGCTTGCTACCGAGGCGCTACTTTAGCTATCTTAGATGTTCAAGGGTCTTAATTGTAAATGCCACAGCCGTAAGCAACCTCGACTTGATTCTCTGAATCGTTTAAGAAGTAATAAAAATAATAAAAAAAAAACTTACCATGAAAACACCTCAAAAGTACAACGTGAAGAATAATCCATAATCGTAATTCCTTCATATTGAAAATTATTTTCATTCGAAATGGTCCAAATTTAATCCATCGTTGTTAATATAAAATTGTATGTTTTGTCGTATTTTATTTGGCATATAATATTCCTGAAATTAAACAAAAACGCTATTTAGATTAGGAAAATTTATTTAACGCATATAAAATTACAAACGCCCCTTTGATATTGTGATTTTGTTGCGTGATTATCACTCGTATACTAATAGTTTATCACTCGATGCTCAAATGGTACATAATATGAATAATGCAAAAGCGAATCAGTGCACGTGCCGTATCAATTTCAACATTTCTGTTAAATATACAAGAGCAATTAATTAAAATAATTGCGGAATTAAACGCGTTATGATATCGGGAAATATTCGACTGCGTTTTAGGTTGTAATCGATATCGTTTAAATCAAACAGCTATTATATAACATAAAACCAAGTAATGTTTAAAAATTTTTTTTGTTGAAACAAAAAAATGTTGTGCAATTAATTTTGTTGCCGTTTAACAAATTTAAAAACTTGGGGAATGCCTATTTACACCGGACGACATTTTTCCGGGGTTTTCGCCCTCTTTGGGTACATATTTGCAGAGACGCAACCCATTTATTTTATTTATTTTCACTCCGGTCCGTTGGGGGTGCTGAATAAATAGCGGGTACGTCTCTGGAAAGGTAACGCGCGATAAGTACGGGCGAAAACAAACATTGAAGAAGAATGACATATCGGTTGCTTCATCCCCCCACGATTCTAACGTTTTCCCCTATATAACTTGTTACAACACGTTTTCCCATCTTTTTCTATCCCATCAAAAACACTAAATATTTTTTTTTTATCTTTAATGATATTCGAAAGTAAATGGAAGTTTACTTCTTAACTTTTTCTTAGTCATATAAGCCTGAAAAGTTTGTTCTTGAACGAGTAAAAGTATCGAGTTTCCATCTACAGCCTTCACTTGAAGTCAGATTTGGATTTTTTTTTTAAATAAACTTTTGCCGCTCGACCCTCACAAAATTATAAACTATGCCAAATTTGTGCTAGTAGCAACTTAAAGCCACGCTATGATTTAATTAATACCGACCGGAAGTTTCTCCGATGCGAAAAGTTCACCGCTCGCCCCTGGAAATCCATGCAGATGAAGCGAGTTTTAAAAGTTTTAACCGAAGGGGCTCGGCACAAAGAAATATCTTTGTGAGAACGGTGTTTTCGATACATTAAGGAAATCGATTGCAGTAACTTTTCTAACTTGGTTATTAAAAATTAATTCTTAACTTAAGGGGGGGATAGACGAAGTTGGAATTTTTCCATAAACTTTATTCATTATAGGCTATTCTTCTTTATGTGGATAATTACTTTGGGAAATACTTGGGGATACTTTCTAGTTCTAGATCTAGTGTTAGTTCTAATTTTAGTGCAATAAAAATATACAACAGTAATATCTTATGCTAACTAGCGCTACCTACCATTGCCACTAGAACTAACACTAGACCGAGAACTAGAAACATTCGGGTTTAGCCGCACGTCTCTCAAGACGGCTAAACCCGAATGATTCTAGTTCTAGGTCTTGTGTTAGTTGTAGTGATAGTGCTAGTGTAAAACTAGAACTAACACTAGACCTAGAACTAGAAACATTCGGGTTTAGCCGCACGTCTCTCAAGACGGCTAAACCCGAATGATTCTAGTTCTAGGTCTTGTGTTAGTTCTAGTACAAAACTAGAACTAACACTAGACCGAGAACTAGAAACATTCGGGTTTAGCCGCACGTCTCTCAAGACGGCTAAACCCGAATGATTCTAGTTCTAGGTCTTGTGTTAGTTGTAGTGATAGTGCTAGTGTAAAACTAGAACTAACACTAGACCGAGAACTAGAAACATTCGGGTTTAGCCGCACGTCTCTCAAGACGGCTAAACCCGAATGTTTTTGGTTCTAAGTCTAGTGTTAGTTCTACTATACCTTATCTTTTTTAAAGTTTTGAAAATATTTTGACATATCAAAAAAACCCTCCAACACTACAACTGACCAAAATGACCAATTTCATTTCCACCAACAATTTTGTTATTGTCAAATTATCGAACGATTCGATTACGTTTGATTTGATGTAGTTAATTTCGTAAAATAAATACGTTTTATTAGTTAAGGTCCCCAAGCATTAATTAAGCCCCAACTAATGTTTGGAGAAGTCAACATATACAAACAAGTTTATTGGGGGAGATAAACTTGACGTTTGAGAAGGTAATAGAAACACCTTGTTACTCTGAAAAGCCTTGTTCAATTACATAAACCACTTAAGACGATAAATTCTATTGGAATCGATAAAAATAATAAGATTTTCTACAACTTTTCAGCTTTTTATTTCAATCCATTTTCACTGCAGGAAGGTGGAAGCCAATCACGAAAAGCAATAGCCGTTTAAGAATATGTGGTGATTTCAACAACTAATAAACTCTTTATTCACCAAACTCGATGGAAGTCAAGTATTTTTATACGATAACGTTAATGGTAAAGCATCGAAGTTAATTAAGATCGGTGGAATCACTGATTATTTCCAAGCACTCGTTATGTGGTTCGATAAAGAAAAAGCGTTTAACTGGAACTAATGATGATGACATCAAATAGAAATGCTACCCTGAAGGAAATAATGTATGTATGTATAGCATCACGTGGGCGTGAATTCCTTGAATTGATTCAGGGGTCAGAAAACCATCCCAAGGTTTTAATCAACGTTAATATAGTACAAAATTCTTTATGTCCGAAATTTGGGAAATTTCAAAAAGTTCCGTTGGTGATGTGGATTTAACAGAGGGAGAGTTGATATAGCTATATGCAATAGGTGGCTCAAGGTGTTGTTGCGGCTAAGAAACAATATAGCGAGTCACATTAATTAATCATCTAAGAGTTGCTCTCATCTAACTTACTCAGTTAGAACAAGTCTGTTTCATCGACATTCTGCTTGCTTAAAATGTTGCTTTCGGAGTCTCAAATCGTATGAAAACTTCATTAAATTATATAGATTCTGTAAGTTGGAACTATCAGAATGTGGATTGTTGCGCGGCTTTCTGATTAAATTTTCTGATTAGGTAGTTTATGAGTAAGATTCTGGCAACTCTGAAGGTGACATAATATTAACAAGAGTAATGGCTTAATAGACACTGGGCCATTAAGTAAAAGTTTATCTGAGATTGTTTAATTTTTTCTTCTGTGTCCTCCCAAACAGTTCCCTAACCTCTTTCTCTACTAGTCTTATCTCTCCTTATCCTATCTCTGCTTATCTCGTCTTTATCTTAATATACTCGTCATATTTAGAAATTCATTTTCTTTCATATCTGTTCTGTTACATATTAATAGNTGTCCTCCCAAACAGTTCCCTAACCTCTTTCTCTACTAGTCTTATCTCTCCTTATCCTATCTCTGCTTATCTCGTCTTTATCTGAATATACTCGTCATATTTAGAAATTCATTTTATTTCATATCCGTCGTGGCTAAACCCGATTATTTCTAGTTCTAGGTCTAGTGTAAAACTAGAACTAACTCTAGACCTAGAACTAGAATCATTCGGGTTTAGCCGTCTTGACTGACGTGGGGCTAAATCCGAATGTTTCTAGTTTTCGGTCTACTGTTAGTTCTAGTTTTGCACTAGAACTAACACTAGAACTAATATTAGACCTAGAACTAGAAACATTCAGGTTTAGCCGTCTTAAGAGACGCAGGACTAAACCCGAATGTTTCTAGTTCTAGGTCTAGTGTTAGTTCTACTTGCCTTTCAATAAAAATATACCACAATCTAACGCTAAATACATTTAAAGGAGTTATTTATGAACAGCCTTACTTTAGAGTTCGCTCCGCACTTACTACGATTTAAAAATAATAAAATCGACTTACTTTCTTTCTNCTACAACTTTTCAGCTTTTTATTTCAATCCATTTTCACTGCAGGAAGGTGGAAGCCAATCACGAAAAGCAATAGCCGTTTAAGAATATGTGGTGATTTCAACAACTAATAAACTCTTTATTCACCAAACTCGATGGAAGTCAAGTATTTTTATACGATAACGTTAATGGTAAAGCATCGAAGTTAATTAAGATCGGTGGAATCACTGATTATTTCCAAGCACTCGTTATGTGGTTCGATAAAGAAAAAGCGTTTAACTGGAACTAATGATGATGACACCACATAGAAATGCTACCCTGAAGGAAATAATGATGTATGTATGTATAGCATCACGTGGGCGTGAATTCCTTGAATTCATTCAGGGGTCAGAAAACCATCCCAAGGTTTTAATCAACGTTAATATAGTACAAAATTCTTTATGTCCGAAATTTGGGAAATTTCAAAAAGTTCCGTTGGTGATGTGGATTTAACAGAGGGAGAGTTGATATAGCTATATGCAATAGGTGGCTCAAGGTGTTGTTGCGGCTAAGAAACAATATAGCGAGTCACATTAATTAATCATCTAAGAGTTGCTCTCATCTAACTTACTCAGTTAGAACAAGTCTGTTTCATCGACATTCTGCTTGCTTAAAATGTTGCTTTCGGAGTCTCAAATCGTATGAAAACTTCATTAAATTATATAGATTCTGTAAGTTGGAACTATCAGAATGTGGATTGTTGCGCGGCTTTCTGATTAAATTTTCTGATTAGGTAGTTTATGAGTAAGATTCTGGCAACTCTGAAGGTGACATAATATTAACAAGAGTAATGGCTTAATAGACACTGGGCCATTAAGTAAAAGTTTATCTGAGATTGTTTAATTTTTTCTTCTGTGTCCTCCCAAACAGTTCCCTAACCTCTATCTCTACTAGTCTTATCTCTCCTTATCCTATCTCTGCTTATCTCGTCTTTATCTTAATATACTCGTCATATTTAGAAATTCATTTTCTTTCATATCTGTTCTGTTACATATTAATAGATGTTATTTTCAAAATTTTGCGAAACTGTGTTATTTATCATTGTCTAGGATTAGACCGACTTGTTCAGATTGGTATACAATAATATTTATTTCTTGTGTTGAAGTAATACTGGTACATCAAGAACTATCAACATAGTGATATCTTATGCTGCCTAGTTCTAGAACTAGGTAGCTAGTTTTCTAGTTTTGCACTAGAACTAAGACAAGACCTAGAACTAGAATCATTCAGGTTTAGCCGTCTTGAAAGACGCACGGCTAAACCCGAATGTTTCTAGTTCTAGATCTACAATCTAACGCTAAATACATTTAAAGGAGTTATTTATGAACAGCCTTACTCCAAAGTTCGCTCCGCACTTACAACGATTTAAAAATAATAAAATCGACTTACTTTCTTTCTGTTTGAATAAATCAGCCTGATTTTTTTTCAATCTCCAAAAATTATTAGGTTATGTTTTCCAATGAAAACTTTAGTGATTAATTTAGGGAAGAATTTCCTTTTGTGAAACTTTAAATCACTTTCAATAAACAATTCACGTCCTAAAGAACGTATTTTAACAGTCTTTTTCATTCTATTATATTTTTTTCTTGTAAAATTTAACATTTTTTATAAATGTTTTGAAACGTCAAAATATGATTTAATACGGGTGATTACCACTAGATGGAATGGCCAGCTGTTTAGAAATTAGAAATATTTAACAAAATATTTACTTTTTATAAATAAACAATTATGTTGTAATTAACATAAAATCAACAATGATTTATATTTACAACCAAAAAATAAAAAAAATTTAATTAATTGTTTATTTAATTAATAATACAGTTTTAATTTAAATATTAGATAAAATGTCATTTAGTTCATTTGAGCGTTCATTAAATATTGTTGACATTCCAAAATATAACCTCTTATTTATTTTGATGAAACAACTTGTGTTTAACTAATTTGATTAAGTAAATAAGCTCAACAAATCAATATGTAAGTAATAAACAACGTTATCTCCTTTTACTTGTACTTGATTTTTTAAAATTAACTTGTTTATTTTTTTAGGTTATGTTGTTGGATTTCTCCGAAGTTTTAATCTAATTAATCCATGTACTGGTGAATTCGCGGTCTTGAATCAATTCTGGATCAAATTATATCTAACTAAATTAGTTAGAAACTAGTAACTAAATTAAGTTGCCTTAATTAAAGAAAAAAGGTAAAGTGATTCATTTTTCATTAACTTGTTATAATTAAAAAATCAACAAAATTTTAATTGAATCTGAGGCTAATTTAGAAAAATATTGGGCAAAACGCAAATATAAAAGGAAAATCAAAAGTTTTTGTGCATAAGTATTTATGATTAGTTAATTAGAGCTAAAAGCATCTATTTTAAGATAAATTAATCAAAACAAAATATATGAAATATTATATTGGGTAGAGAATTATAAATGAATTAGTCAACAGCTTCAATATTCCCTCTTATATAAACTGTACTCTAAACATTGGAAACGGTCATTTCAAAGGGACTCATGGACCCGTGTTCTCGGTATTTGCAGTAGTTCTACTGGCGGTGTGCAATTTGTATGCACCGACAGAACGTGGAGTTAAATTTATGCAACGAAAATAGTGAGAGAGACGACCGCCTACAAGTGAATTCAGTAATGCGCGTGTTTATTTGACAAATAGGACCAGACGCGGCGGAATTAATTAATAAAAGAGGCTCTCTCGCTAGGAATTTAACATTAACACATATTAACCTTTCTATCTTGAGAGTAATTTTGAGAAACGTTTCAACAACTCGAGTATAAATCAACAAAACTACAATTCGTAAACGTCCACGAAACTATTAATCTTAAACTCAAGAATGTTCCTCATTATACTAATTAAGTTTGTTAACTCAAATTGTTGCAACGTTGATTTAAATTCGCGATCAAACAGGTTGTTGATTGAACTCACCAATTTAATTATTTTTTAATGCTCCTATGAAGAAAACAAACACAACTTTTTTTTGGGTTAGTTCTTTCTATTTCGTTTTAAAGTTTTTAACTTTTCGATCAAGTATTTTTTTTTGATAACATAAAAATCACTTGGTGTACGTGAAAAAGATCGCGATTTTACGATTTTCGCCGTCAACCTTCCTCATCGAAGCGCCACGAACTACTGAAATGGTACTGAAACAAACGTCCCAAGTAGCAAAGCCCGTTTCGGTCAGAGACGCGCATGTTCGCGCAAGTTTTCAGTTTTCCCCTTTCACATCGTCATCCATTACGGTACATTATCAATCTCTAATCCATGGTTTGATTAAGATATTGTTAATTTTTTGGTTTTGTATAAAAAAAATCTGTTGATGAAGATAGATTTGTCGTTGTTGGATAAGAATGACGGAATGTTAGCGTGGTTGTTTAGTCGTAGGCCATAAATCATTCTAAAGTGTTATTTACTCAAAAATGCTCCATGCGTTGTTCGCGTTGCGAGTGTTTATGTTTGGGCGCGAGAAGGGCGAAAGATTCGATGTTTTCCCGGCGCCTCCACCACGAAAATTTATGTTCCCTGTACACTTCTTACGGCCTCAACCTAGTAACGACGTACATAATTCTCAGTCTCAGAGTACACTGCAGTAATACCGGAAATATTTTATTGAATATTTTACAAGTTTTACTCTTTTCTATCCCCAAGACACGGGAACAATGAAAATGGGGGTTTCGCGTTAAACCGAAATTTTATGCGAATTAAAGGATATTTTAGGATGGATAAAGGGAAAATATGCCGGCGAGTGAATGACTAACTCGGAGGGCTAAGCTGATTATAACGGAAAACTGGAACTTCAACGATAAACAACGAAAAGTGTGAACTTGTCGCTTGCTCAATGCGGGAACGTAAAATAACGCCGACAGCTGATGCGAAATTCGTGCCGGACCGGTTTAAATTTTGACGAGGAAACCTAGTTTAACTACTTAACTACTAAAAATTCTAAATCAACTTTCATAATCAACTGTAATACAGTACAAAATATTTTTAAGTCGTAAAATTTATATTATCTGTTTAATTTTTTTAGTTTTAGTTGTTATTTAGTGTTAGATTGTTGTAAGTGATGGAAAAGATAATTGATCAATACCTTATCATGCTTATCAGAAAGCAAAATCAACAATTAATGCTCTCCATGCTTTGACAAGCATTTTACCCAATGTGCTTTCATAAACATAGAGGGTGCTTTTAATAACACCTCCTACGAATCCATAAAGAAAGCTCTAAACGTAAAAGACATACATCCGTCGACGAGCAAATGGTGTATGATGGAGGCGAGTCGTTGACTATTAAGGATACCACAAGGGAGAGTACTTTCATTTTTCCTCTTGTGTCCTATGAATTGATGAACACCTTAACAAAAAATGAATTCATTATTCAGGGATATGCTGAAGAGCTGGTAATCACAATCCGAAGTAATCATAACCCAACTAATGCAGAAAGCCCTACTACTTACTAGCACTTGGTGCAGAAGCAATGGGTTCAGCATTAATCCAAACAAAGTCGAAATTGTCACTTTCACTCGGAGAAGGAAGCTACAATTGAGAGCACTTTTCATTAAAGGCAGAACTATTAACCTCAAAACAGAAGTCAAATACTTAGACAGTAAATCAAACTGGAATTCCCACATAGTCAAGTTAGGGTAAAAGGCCATCGTGGCTAATCAGATCTGCCGCAGGTTCCTTGCAAGTAAGTGGGGTCTTAAACCATGCAAGGGTCACTGGGCCTACGTAGCAATAATCAGACCCATGGTCGCCTAGAGGGTGCTTTTGATAACACCTCCTACAAATCTATAGAGAAAGCTCCTATTAAGGATGCCCCCAAGAGGGAGTACTTTCATTTTTCCTATGGTGTCCTATGACACCTTAACAAAAAATGGATTCACTATTCAGGGATATGCTGATGACCTGATAATCACAATCAGAAGTAAATATGACACAATCATAACAGAACTAATGCAGAAAGCCCTACTACTTACTACCACTTGGTGCAGAAGAAAGCATTAATCCAAACAAAGTCGAAATAGTCCTTTTCACTCAGAGAAGAAAGCTACAAATCACAAAACAACACAACAACAGCAGTCACAAATCCAACGGTTAGCATGTCTTAAGATAATGGGTTGGGTTGGGTAGGATCTTGTGGGATCTTAGGTCTAACACCACTTCATTAATATATACAAAAGGAGGCAACTTTTAGTGCCTAATCACTGAAAACATGTTCTTCACTCAAGTTGATACTGGGTAACCTCAGACAACACCTCGAAGTCTTCAAGAACCCATGTCTAAACCACTTATTTGGAATAAAAACGAACCTTATACCGATAGAATATAATTTCGACAACCCCGTGTAAGGTCATATATAGAAGCAGGGATAATTGTGCGAAGTGTGAACCTAAACTCAAAAGAGGAGCCCTTCTCTAGTACACCGATGCTTCAAATAAGATCTGGAATAGGTATAGATATTAGTGGACCAAATAGCTGCATTAAATTGCCCCTCAGCTCGGACATAACCATTTTCAAGCTGAAGTTCTTGCTATAAACTTCTGCACCGTTTCGAACCTAGAAAAAGGACTGAAATATGCATCGTTAAACATTCATGGACGGCCGGGATGCCCTAAAGGCAATTCAGGCCTACACGTGTGAATCCGATCAGAGAATACCAGCAACCTGAGAGAACTCGCTAGGAGCAATGATGTTATTGTATGGTGGGTTCCAGGTCACAAAGACGTTGAGGGCAATGAAAATGAGGACGCCCTTTATTAAACCCCAACCCGGCTGTAGACTAGAGCACTGCACGAGGTACTATTCAAAGGTAGCCTTACGCTGGAAAGAACTTCCAAGTCAGAGATAGGCGAAGAGTATGATAACTCTCGCAATACAAAACCAACGAGGTTTTATGCTTCAGCAAAGGGGATCTAAGGTCGTTCTAAGGCTTTCTGGTCGGCCATAAAATACCACTTCTTTCACATTGGACAACCTAAGAATCAAACTTGTGGACTTTGCAACGATGAGTCAGAGACTGCTGAATATATACTGTGTGAATGGGTCGCCTAAGAAACAAAACTGAAAGTTTTACTAGACCGAGAACTAGAAACATTCGGATTTAGTCTCACGTCTCTCAAGATGGCTAAACCCGAAACTTTCTAGTTCTAGGTCTAGTGTTAGTTCTAGTTTTAATGCAATAAAAATGCAACATAGTGATATCTTATGCTAACTAGCACTACCTACCGCTGTCGTTTGTAAAATGGATAAAATGAGAGATGTTAATCTATTTGTAAAGTCTCTGAAGATGGCCAAGGGTAGAAACTAGTTAAACTTAAATTCTATATAACATAAAAGACAAACATTTAATTTTATACTAACATCTAGAAAACGACACTGACCCGAAATTGTAGGTTCATCTATTTTTTCTATTGTAGAATTTCTTGGTGTATCTAAGACTCGTATGATGCAAAACGGACTTGAAATCGTATAACGTGATGGGCGCTTAGCTTTATCCTTTAAAACAAATGGTATTTTAGATCTTTCGGTATTCTGCATTTTTTCTAAGATAAGTTACACCTTATCTACCAGACAACATGTAAATCTCTAAAAACGATAAAATGTCGTCAAGTGATGTATAACGCGGTTCATTTTACCTACAGAAAAAATAAAGACGCGACGTCCTGTCTATATAGAACACACACCAGCACCATCTTTTGAGCAGAATCTTCCTCTCCCCACATAGCTTTGAACTTTGAAAATTGATAATGGATTTCGACATCTACACATTCAAAAGTAGTGTATTTATATGAAATTTTTGACTGATTTAAAACGAAATGAAAAATTTTATAAGAATAAAACGTTCGTTAAACGGAGTAAATTTGGTGTGTGAAATCATAGGAAAACTTTACGATCCAAAGGGTTTCATAACTTTATAACTGCAGGGGTGCTAAACTGTTTACTTCTCTCTTCCGGTTTGTAGCAGAGAGAGAATCCCGCCGGGCGTACACCTACAGTTGGTGGAACTCGCCGAAAAATTTAATTAAAATTAATACGCCTAAGCAAACTTAATAAAACCCTGGTCTCATTTTTGGTGTAATACGAACAATAAAAGGTGCAAAAAAAGAATAAATAAAAAAATATGGTGAATGTTCCGAGAGAAGGTCTATTTTTAGGCCAATTATAAAGGTTTTGTAACCATCGGACCAAACATGAAAACCGAACAAACACGACCTATTTTTAACCTTTCCCATCAGGTGAAATTTCCAACGAATTTATCGGGTCATATTTGTTTTGGACGACTGCGATCTCGACCCCGTCCCTAATTGCTTTTGGTTGCCAGAATGAGTTGTACACTATATAAAAATTGACTTGTATGTTTGACAGATTTTTTCAATCAGTTTTTTATCTTTTTTTCTTCGGAATTTATTTAATTTACACAACACAATGCGAAATACGATTGATACAGAGTTGACAACGTTGTAACCGCTTTTGAACCAATCCTTTTAATCTCAAAATTCGAACTCGTCCTGTATTTCGCTCCCGATAATACTCTTTCTCGTTTCGATTCATTAGCAAATGTATACGAAAATGTAATACGATAAAGTGCTGATATCGAAACACGGGGAGTAAATCTGGAAATCCTGTGGATTTCTTTTCGTTTCACTGAATGTTTTACATATTGACATGAATGGTACTTTGTTTTTAGCATCCAACCTTTAGATTTTTGTTTTTGGATTAAATCGTTAAACAACAATTTAACGCTTAATAACAATAGAGTAACAATGCTAGTGCAAAACTAGAATTAACACTACACCTAGAACTAGAATCATTATGAGTTTAGCCGTCTTTAGTGACGTGCGGCTAAACTCATAATGATTCTAGTTCTAGGTGTAGTGTTAGTTCTAGTTTTAATTGTTGTTCAGCGTTAAATTGTTGTATATTTTTATTGAACTAAATGTGGATCTAGTGTTAGTTCTAGTTTTACTTCAATGAATAATATATTATGTACAACAATCTAATGCTGCATAACAACTAAAACTAGAACTAACACTAGCATTTGATCTAGAACTAGGAAACATTCTAGATGCATTATAGGTTTAGTGTTATCCCAAAATTTTAGGGCAAATGTAGGTTCTTGA